GGAAGGGAACACAGCCTGAAATAAAGGAATGGCAAGAGTGAAGTGTGCTGTGATTTGAAGAATTATAATCTCAGGAGAGGAGGAGACACTTCAGCTGAGGCTGCTTTCTCTGGTTGCCCCCAGGGCACTTGGACTTTGGGCCACAGGCAGTTTTCTCTGAGGTGACTTGTTCACAGAGAACTTTTTCTTTTGCTGGGAAAATTTGCTCCCCAAAGTGAGCAGGTCTGTCTCAGGCAAACCCCCCTGTGCATGGTCAAAGGCAGCATTTGCTGTGGTTTGAGCCATCTTCTGTGTTAGATGTGAAAAAGCCAGGTGATTTTTATAGGCTTGGATGAGTTGCTGCTCTGGTGAATACTGCACTGAGGAGGGGAGCAGATCTTGGGATTTCTCTGAAGCTCCAGTGGGACTTGTGTTCTCTGACTGAAAGTCTGCTGTGGGGATTGGAAGGAGCAGCTTCATGGTTCTGATACAGGGAATTTGATAAGAAATTATCAAATTCCCTGTATCCTGTCATGGCTTTCAGTGAAAGTCAAACAAATGGGCTCTACCTGAATCACTGGAATTTAATAATAATAATATGATCACCATGTGGCCCTGAAAAAGCTGTTTTGGAGGGTTACAGCATCATATTGGGCTGTGTGTAATATATATGTGCTCCTTGTAAAATCCTTTGTGGCTGGAGTGAGTAACTTCTTGATGAGTAAATTAAATACTCATTTAATTTACCCCAGATTATACAATTTCCATTTTTCCTCGCCCAGGTACATCTGTTCATTATTAAAGGGAAGGTGGGGATGTACAGGTAAATATTTGTCACTGTTGTGGAGGTTTGCTTTTGGTGACAGCAAATGCTGGGAACTTCCTGACTGGAGTAACTTCTCTATGGCAGCAGAGAATTATTATTATTATTGGTAGTATTAGTAGTATTAGTATTAGTATTAGTATTATTAGTATTAACAGCATGAGAAACGCTCATATCCAGTCATATTTTTAGGGATATTTTTGTACTGTGGTTTGCTATGATTTGGGTCAGCTACTAATGTAGTTTTATTTCCTGATTTTCAAAATCTGTCTCACAACTCTAATACTTTTAGTGTCACTTGGTGTAACTCAGCTGGTCCCATTGCATCTGCATGAATTTCTATGAAGTGATGATGTGGCCCAGTAAAAGAATGGAATCAGGCAGCTTTGAACTTGTTCAAATCTAAATTTCATCTAAATTAATCTAGATTCCCCCTCACAGGAGGAGATAATGCTTTAATCCTGTGCTAGGGTTTGGTTTATTTCTGCTTTTTGCAGAAATGTTTCCCTCAAGGGTGAGTGACTCATAGAGTGCACGTATCAGTGTCTTGTTCCCCAGTTTACTAATTGAACAGCTCCTGAATCAGACTGTGCTGCTCAGCACTCCATTCTGCTGCTGATAATTAATCAGATATGGAGATATGGCTCTAATTACTGACTTGCAGCAGAACTTAAGTGTGGTCATCTGTAACGTCATCTGTTATTGACAGAATCCAGGAATCCAGGCACCAGGGAAAGAACTTGCAGGAACTATCTAATGAAAACCATGATGCTTTGTCCATCATGAAACCTTTTTTATACAGCTTGAGTGTGGCCTCCCCATCTGGAGGTGACTGCCCTTTTCTGCATTGCCACACCATGTCCCTGTTGATGGAAGCTTCCCAAGCTTTCCAGCTTTTCCAAGACTGGGATATCTGGGAATGCACGGGCCCAGAGCACAGACTCTGTGTTTAAACTTCCCCCAGTGTTTGATTTCTCAAGGGAGCTTAGCAGAAAAATCAGTTTACTCTCTTTTTTTTCTGTTCCTTTGAGTAAGGCGTTCTAATGATTTGAAGCCCCCCAGGTAATTAATACCAGCTGAGATAGCAACTGAATCAGAAAGTTTTGTTTCAAATACTAAAAGTTGTCCTGGACCTGTTAAATAGGTGTAGGGTGTGCCATATTTGGGGATAGTAAAAATAAAAACACTGATTTAAAAAAAATTTTTATATATATATATATATATATATATATATATATATATATATATATGGGATGTTTGTGAGTTTATAGATGTATAATACCTTGTGAGATGCTTTTTCATTACGTGTTTATTTTCTATAAGTACAATCTTGGTTTGTTGTTTTGGGTTTTTTTTCTGTTTTCTCTTTTGGTTTTGTTTTGTTTGGTTTTTTGGTAGTGGTGGTGGTTTGATTTTTGAATTTCCATTGTCAGTATGTCAAGTTATCACTAAAAGTAACAGGTTGAAGTCTTTCCCTGGAGTTTCCAAGGTATAAATGAGTAAGAGCTGCAACAAAACTGTCCAACACCTTTGTTTCAGGTGAGAAGTGGTCTGTAGAATTAAAAGCAAAGCAGAAGCAGTCATTCAGTTGAGATGGCAAATAAAGGAGCAGCTATGGAAATATAAACTGCACTTGATCAGAACAGGAGGGAGCACAGGGGGCTGTGAGCCAGCAATGAGAGCTCCATCCAGAGGCTGATGCTGTGCTCAGTTTCAGGGCAGAAACACCTTCCCCCATCCAATGGAGATGCATTTAGAGAATTGCTGATACTGAACAAAAGAACAGTTTTGGTTTTTTCTGAATAAAGAAGCTCTACATTTTACATACAGTTTTCATGTGTGAGTTTTTGTGTCAGCACAGGACAGTAAAGCAGAGGAGAGAGCAGGGTGCAGTGAAAGGAGTTTCCTCCAGCTGCTCCCATCACAGACCATAAAACTGTTGCTGTCTTTCAGTGGCTCTACAGCCAGCAAGTGTTTTCTCCCCAGTATGTCTCCCCCAGTGTGATGAGAAATGAGGGAAGTAGAATAAAAACATTATAAAACAATTGTATTCAGTACTAAATGCTGGAGGTACAGATAGCACTTAATGCTTCAAAGGATTTTCTCAGTAAAAAGGTTCAAATGTCAAAGGTACAGGATGTCACAAATGACAATATTAACACTTGTTACTTGGTGCTGTTCCATGGTACAGTCCCAGTCTTCAGGTTGTAAATCCTCCATAAATGAACTGATCGGGTTGGCAGCTATAAAACATGGACTTGACATGGATTTAACCATTATTAGTCAATTTTTCTAAGTCAGAGAAAGGGGAGAGGGAAAAAGGGACTGTAAGAACTGGTAACTACAAGAAGTGGGCTCTGAGCTACAGCTACAGTGCAGGAGGAGAATGAGATTTGGCTGATCAGAACACACAATCTGTGCTGGGTTTGGTCTGTTATCCAGGACTGGGATCTGAAGTTTGGGATGCAGGTGTCTCCTGCAGGAAGCCTGTTCTGTTTGATGGGGGGCCTGGAGGCCAGGGAAGGGAGGAGAGTGGTGTTTGTATGATGCACATGTGTGAGCAATGCAGAGATTTCAAATTCTAGGAAAAGACTTCGGATTTGCAGACATGGATGTGGGACACAATTGTTTTTATCATGCCAGTTGTATTCTGGATCAGTTTTAAAAGGAATTATGCAAGTAAATAGCTCCAAGCACAGCGGATTTAAACTGATTTTTGCTACATTTTTAGTAGATAACTGGCAGTTTAACCAAATTATGACAGGGTTTTGTGTAAACACCCCTGCAAGGCTCCTCCCAGCTTTTTAATGCCCTGCAGATTGCCTGACACAGCTGTGCTTGCTGTTCCCTGCTGCTCCCTCTGCAGCTGCACTGCCCATTGCTCTGCAGTCCAGCAGAGGAGCCACACATGCCAGTGCTGATCATGTGGCAGGGAGTGTTTGCCAGCTGCCTGAGCCCCAGGGCTGCCTGCCCAGCTCCCAGGAAGTCCCACTGTAGGATTGGGTGTTGCACCTGAGGTTGTGTCACACCTTGCAAAGGTTCATTGAAAGCAGTTACTTTAAAAAAAAAAAAATTTGCTTTTGTAGAAAGCCTGCAGGTTCCAACGTTAGCAATGGCCACAAAGACAGAACAAGAACTTTCTCTCTAATAAAAGCAAGTTAAAAATTAAAAGGAAGTAAAAAAAATGGTCAGGATTTAGTAACAGGAATGTAAATTTCTAGAAGTACGTTGTAGCCATGTCTGTGTGTGTGGAAGCAGAATGTGGTGGTGTTTTCCTAATGAATATCCAGGAGCAGCCGTGTTCCTGAGCAGGTGCTGAATGCTGGGACAGGGCTGATCTCTGGACACTGCCACAAAGACAGAACAAGACCTTTCTCTCGAATAAAAGCAAGTTAAAAATTAAAAGGAAGTAAAAAAAAAAAAAAAATTAAAAAAAAATGGTCAGGATTTAGTAATAGGAATGTAAATTTCTAGAAGTACATTGTAGCCATGTCTGTGTGTGTGGAAGCAGAATGTGTTGGTGTTTTCCTGATTAATATCCAGGAGCAGCCGTGTTCCTGAGCAGGTGCTGAATGCTGGGACAGGGCTGATCTCTGCCACAAAGACAGAACAAGACCTTTCTCTCTAATAAAAGCAAGTTAAAAATTAAAAGGAAGTAAAAAAAATGGTCAGGATTTAGTAACAGGAATGTAAATTTCTAGAAGTACGTTGTAGCCATGTCTGTGTGTGTGGAAGCAGAATGTGGTGGTGTTTTCCTAATTAATATCCAGGAGCAGCCGTGTTCCTGAGCAGGTGCTGAATGCTGGGACAGGGCTGATCTCTGGACACTGCCACAAAGACAGAACAAGACCTTTCTCTCTAATAAAAGCAAGTTAAAAATTAAAAGGAAGTAAAAAAAAAATGGTCAGGATTTAGTAATAGGAATGTAAATTTCTAGAAGTATGTTGTAGCCATGTCTATGTGTGTGGAAGCAGAATGTGGTGGTGTTTTCCTAATTAATATCCAGGAACAGCCGTGTTCCTGAGCAGGTGCTGAATGCTGGGACAGGGCTGATCTCTGGACACTGCGCTGGTGCTCCAGGAACACCCAGTCCTGGAAAAGCTCCTTTTAGTTCAGGAACCAAGGGCAGACTCCTCTTTCTCAAGTTTTCTTTTAATTTTTTTTCTTCAGGGAGGAGCTGTAATGTCTTGCTGTGAGGATGAGGAGCAGGATCCCTGTCATCCTGCTGGCCTGTGGCTCCTTTAACCCCACCACCAACATGCACATGCGTTTGTTTGAGCTGGCCAGAGACCACCTGCACCAGACAGGTCAGTGAGGCCTGGGAAAAGCAAGAAGGAGTTTTAATGCTCACTTAGATCAGCTCTTACTTTACAGCTGGCTTCATTTTCATATTCTTTACTGGTATTAATGTAAAGCTTTCATGGGATATTCAATATAGAAAGTCTGGCATTACCTCAGTGTATAAGCAGGTATAATGAGTTTTTTACTCTCCTGCAAAGAGAGTAAAAGTTTTATCAGCAGTTTGAGGATCCTGCTCATGGCACTGGCTGAACCTTGTGAAATAATATGGTTAATAATTTTGAAACTTAGGAAGATCTTTTATGTCCTAATTCTGTGCTTTTCTGATACAATGTGTTTCAATATGAAGAAGGGTTCAGTTTTGACAGCGGGGGGAAATTGGAGAAAAGATGAAATGTTAATTATTCATTATCTGTCTTCACTAAGAGGCACTTCATCTATCCTAAAAAAAGGTCAGAAAAGCAAGATGCCACAGGCTAAAATGTTTTGGCAACAAAAGAGTAAGGTGGTAACATCAGGAATTTAAGAAAGAATCAGAAATGCCACTGGAAGGCCTTGAACTCTAAGCTTGAGCAGCTCCTTAGTTGCTCAAGGATTTATTTTTTTTTCCATCTGCAGCTAATATATGCAGTTATGTTTTTGGAAATGGGTGGGAGGGAATCATTATTTATTGGAATCTGACAGAGAAGATCCTAGGGAGGTGGTTCAGTAGGAACCTAAACTGCAAATAATAGTGAAAGGAATTTGGCTGTCAAATTGAGCAGGGGGGAGAGAACCTGGGAACCCACTGATACCAGTGTGCAGTAAAAGCAGCAGTTGCATACTCAGAATATCCTGTGAGGAAACTTGGACTGTCATGAGGAGGAATTACAGAGCTGGCTCTGAGAGCAGCCTCTACAAGTCAGTTTTCCTTGAACTAACATTATTTTGTTGCTTCTGCAAGACTAGAAATAAAGGGTTAAAAAGAGATTTTAATTTACTTTTTTCACTGTAGTTTTATAACTGATTCTGCTGCCCAGCTATGCAAAGAGTAGAAAGGTAATATGAGACCAACTGGTAATTCTGTTTAAATCATAAATTGTAGTCCAGTAACATTTCTCTTTGCCTTTAAAGAAGGACTGAACTGGGAAATTAATTATTATTCTGTCCCAATCAATTTAATGTCTGGTCTGCCCCAGGGTCAGTTTAGAAAGACTGCTCCCCTTACTCAGGATAGTTTGCTTAAAATCCATTAACAATCATATTAAAAATGAAATTTTGAAAGGTTGAAATGGAAATTGTGCATTATGTTATACCTGATGTCAATGCCTAGTTCTGGGTCGGACTTGCCTTTTGGCTCCTTATTTTAATTTGTGAAGCCTTACAAGTCCAAGGACTTTCTGCATTGGATAATCCTTTGGTGTCTGGGTTGCTTACAGTCTTTGCCCTTTCTGAAAGCTTCACCCAGCATGACAGCCAAGTCAGAGCCCTCAGTTTGCCTGCAGCAGCTTTCCCCACCCTGAGCAGAGGTGGTTGCCCTGCAGGAGCTCCAGGAGCAGCTGGATGAGTTTGTGCTGGGTGTATGGGTTGGATGTGTGGCTACTCAAACCCCACCTGTGGCCCCTCCTCGACAGGGAATGCAGTTTCTCAAGCAGAAGGGGTTGGCAGCATGCTATAAAAATGACTGATTCTGGATGCCTCTTTTATAGCAGAATCATTCCTACCCAGCAAATTTATTGGTCATTCTCTCATGGTTTCAGCCCCTTTTGGGGTTAGCGAGAAATTGGAGCTTATTTGCTGAGAAGAAGCAGCAGCTGCAGCCTGGGAGCTGATGGAGGGGCTGGAGAACAGGAGTTACCTGACTTGAGGCAGCAGTGATTCCCTTTCAGAGGGAACAGTGCACTTTGGAGCTGCCATCCACACTGGATGCCTGAAATGAGTGAGGAATTAATTAATTAGTGTGAGGGACGTGTTTCCTAGGCTTGGGAATGGCTTCATCCTCCTGCTGCTCCATCACAAACCAGGCTGAAAGGATGAGTTGGGCCATGGCTTGGCTGGAGTTCAGCACCAGCCCTGGAAGTGTTCCAAGGACGTGTGGATGTGGCACTTGGGGACACGTTCTAGTGCTGAGTTACTGGTTGGACTCAGTTATCTTAGAGGGCTTTTCCAACCTCAACAGTTGCAGGATTCTGTGACTTCAGAGGCAGGTTTCAGTGCCTTGAATGATGTGACTGTCCCTGATGTGCATCCTGACTGACATCTCCAGTAATTCTGTCTGCCAGCTTTTTGAACATCACATCAGTTTCTAATGCTGCCTAATCTTATTTTTCACACATCCCTATTTTAAGTAAGACATTTTATTGGGTTTCTTTAAGTGCAGTTTCATTGCCACATGTCAAGTAATTCATCCTTTTTCTGTTAATATCAGCTAATAAATCTTGTCATGCTGCCTTTTAAATACAACACACATAGCTGTGTGTGCCTCAATGACTCAAATCATTCTCTTTACCTGGATTTTCTGTCTACTCTTTTGAATCTGGCACTTTACACCTCCTCAGACAAAGCTAAAATTTTCCAATATTCAGTCCCTTGTTTTAAAATTGTTTTTTGAAACTTGCAGTGACTGTGGCAGATGCCTTTAGAGTATGAATACCTAATATCAAATACTTTTACTTCTCTGTGACTTTATTCCTCATTTGACCATAAAGACCAAAGAAACAGAACTAGAATCAATCTATCTGAGATATTTTTAATCTTGTTTCCCAACTGTTGACAGTGCAGGATACTTACATCTCCAAGTTTCCAGGTGAGACCAAAAGCGATGCAGGTCGAAGGAGGAGGGTGTGAAAGACAAGATGTTTTATCTGTGGCAAGACAAATTCCAGGGGAAGGTGAAGGATAATGGGTTATTATCTTATGAAAACTGGGGAAAATGGGACACCATTACTGGGTTGCTGTCACAGTCTGGCTCTCTGCAACCCCAAGTCCGGTCCAGCCAGGGGGAACGTGGCAAAAACAGGGAGACAGGAACAAGGGACCTGGCCAGAAATAAAGAACTTTAATAGCAATATAACAAAGGCAGAAACCTCATCATCTGAGGGGCAAGATCCAAAGACAGGGGGGCGTGGGGAGCATAACAAGATGCAGGGGTATTCTGAGGGTGAGGTCCAGTCACCAACATGAGCTCAGAACATGACCTTGAACATGACAGGATCCAAACTAACTGAGAACAAGAGCCAGAAACATGACCTAGTCTAGAATAGTGCCATTAGCATCCCATTAGCATGCCATTAGCATACTGACTCCCATCAGCACACTCTTCTCACCATGACCTGACCAAGAAAAGCCCTTTCAGTGTCCCACTTGCCATGGTCTCAGGTTGGTGCCTCCTGTATGTGCTACTGAGGCTAAACCACTGCTCATCTCAGCTGCCTGCATTCCTCCAGCTCCTGTCAAATGAGAAATGAATTTAAATTGTGATTTCTTTCCCTTTAAATGACAGCTTGTTATAGCACTGTATAATACCATAGTATGAGAGAATAATTGTTGTTCACAAATCAAGTGGAATTATTTCCAATTTCAAATCAAGAGATGGACTTCATTATATACACATCTTTGCATGATGCATGTCAAATGCATCCCTGTTCACTGGCTAGGGTAACACCAGGGAGCTGCAGAGCTTCTCTTGGGGGATTTTCCCTTGACACTGAGAGGAAAATGAGTAGTGAGCAAGAGTTAAATGCATGGAAGTGTTTCATTTATTTGCTTTTCTGTAGTGGTTATTTACTTTTGTTATTGACTTCTGGAATAATTTCTCCCAGTGAATTACAGATTTACTGCCAGAAGAAATTAATCTTGAGAAGCCCCACCAAAATACACAAACAATTTTGTATGAATTGGCATTTGATAAATTTGCTAATAATAAGCTAATTAAGCATTACAATCTATGCTAGTGTTTGTGACAATTTACAGTGACACTTTGATAACAGAAAACTAAATACCTATTTTCCTTAATAATCTCCTTTACATGTTTGAGGGCCAATCTTTGTTTCATTCCTTTTGTTATATTTAGTTTTCTGAGCACTAGCCAGTTCTCCTAAACAGTTCTTAGAAAATGTCAGTTCATAGCAAGAGGAACTTTTTTGCTGCTTTTGGTAGGTATATTTTGAAAAACAAAGCCACTTGAGGCCTGGAGGACTTTTACACATATTTAGGACAAGTAATAATAACAAACTATATGATGAAAACAAATAGAATTCCAGGGACATAGAATTTGAAGATAATTCTGGACCAAGGAAGGTATGAAACAACCATAATAATTTATGGGAGAGAGAAGAGAATTGCAATGGACATTAATAAAAGCCCGAGGTGACAGAATTTAATTATTTCATCTTCACACACCTGCCAAAACTGAGGGCCATATTTGAACAAGTGAACTTCTAAATAACTGAATTGGAAAGAAGTTATTTAGAGTCAGTAATAAAATTATTTCCTATATTTTGACAGCTAAAGCTTGTGTTTCTGTTTGGAAGGCTCTTGTGCATCCTGTTTGCACAGTGCTGGTTACTCCACTGTGAATCTTCTCAAGCCATTCCTGTGTTTGACTCTCTGAAGTGTTACCAGCCTTGCTTTTTCTCTCCCAGTTGGTTTCATTTCTGCTTGGGAACAAGCTGATATGGCACCAGAAGCTCTTACCTCATCTCATTTATGCAGCTCAAGGGCAGATTAGAGACTGAAATCTTTCCATCTCACAAGGATGTGGCAGACCCATATGCTTGGGTAGCATGAGCTCACAGAAATATGATTCTTTCATTGAATATATTCATTTAAGTTATAAGGGAAGAACTTATATCCGTAGAAATGTAAAGAAAGTGAAACATGGCAAATAAAATCATCATGTAGGAAAAACCTTTTAATAAGGTTAATGTAGTAGTGAATTCAAACTGCAGTTTGAAATAAAGTTTCCTTCCCTTTAAATGAGAAATGAATTTAAACTGTAATTTCTTTCCCTTTAAATGACAACTTTTTATAGCACTGTATAATACCATAGTATGAGAGAATAATTGTTGTTCATAAATCAAGTGGAATTATTTCCAATTTCAAATCAAGAGATGGACTTAATTATATACACATCTTTGCATGATGCTGGAAAATTTTATCTTCCTCATTGTGCCTGTAATGAGAATATTTTAAAACAGAGGATGGTTTGAACTGACATCTTAAGAGGATGTAAATCTCATTGAATCTTACTGCTGGTTTTTTAAGTCCGATTCAATGAAGTTCTTTTGAAAATTTTATTACATCAAAATAAATGTGACATTGCTAGAGTGACATTTTCGTGTTGGAATATTAAATTGTCATGTACCAGTATCAGAAATGTCAGGGGTGCTGTTTTCCTTACAAAGCAATAAAGGTAGCATGCTGCATTGAAGTTTCTCTGTTAAAATAATTGAATTAGAAAAAAGGACAAGGATTTTTTTCCCTCCTCAGTGGCATATTTATCATAGTTATTTAAAATGCATGTGCTCCATAAGAAATAATTTTGTTCATTTCTGTTCAGCTGAAACACTCTTCCTCTCCTCTCAATTTCTCAAGGCTTGCAGCTTGTGGTGGTGCTTTATTTTTGTTTCCTGGTTTGGGGCCAGAACTGCAAAATCTAACCAGTCTGTTGTGTTCTGTTGTGTTACAGGGGTAGGAAACCAGGGGCTTGTTGTCAAATGTACTTAACATGGTCAGCCAGACAGAAAGGCAGGCAGTGGCTGCTGAGCTGATGTGTGGAGCACAGTGCTCCAAGTCTTGTTTTAGACTCCATTAGCCCCATCTTTGTGCTTCAATCTTCTGATTTTTCTGAAGCACATCTATCACAGCTGCGGTAATATGCTGTAATTCTTGCTTTAACACAAAGGAGGGCCCAATGATTCTGATAAATAACAATGATCAGATATCTAAGAACAAAGAAGTGGTCAGTTAAGTCATTCTTTGCTCTGGCTGTACCAACTGTACTAACTGGATGATGAAAATTAATTCCATCTAACAATTTTGATAGTGTGCAACATCAATTATTACTCTGTCTACATGCTTTAAAATTGTCTGTTTACTCAGCTTTCCTTTTTGGGTCATTTATTAGGATAAACATGATAGTAATTGTGAGCAGTTCACAGAGGAACAAAACATTTGCATTTTAATTTTTTAATTGCTGGGAACGGATTAATAACAAAACCCAAATCAAGTTGTCCATAGCATCTCAAACCTTTGCCTTTAACCATGATGTTACCCTTTGAAGAGGTTGGACTAGGTGAACTCCCAAGGCCCTATCCACCCTAAATTTTCAAGATTCTGTGAAGAGGATTTAATTTTCATGTTTTTCTTTTCTTTTTTTCCCAAAGGAAGGTATCATGTGATTGAAGGCATAATGTCTCCTGTCAGTGACAGCTATGGGAAGCAAGGCTTGGTGTCAGCAAGGCACCGCGTGGCGATGGCCAGCCTGGCCCTGGAGACGTCTGACTGGATCCGGGTGGATCCCTGGGAGAGCCAGCAGGACACGTGGACAGAGACAGTGAAAGTATTAAGGTGATTACATGATCTTCTTCCTGTCTTTATGAAATTACTGACTGCCAAAAATCTGCCCTGTCAACACACAGAACTTGCTAAGACACTCAGGCAAGTCAGGACTCCCCACCAGGAATCTTCCATTTGCTTCCCCCACACCTGTGCAATAACCATGGTCCTGCCCTCATGTCCTTCAGGTAGTTGGATGCATGTGGAAAGCCTCTGCAAAATGATGGCCACTGATGGGTTCTGCAGGAAAAGTTCCTGCCTCTCATGTTACCTTTCTTAAGTGTAAGTCTCTAAGCAAGTGATAGAGAGCTTGTGATCAGAAAGTAAGAGAGTTCACAAATGATGCTGCTCTTCAGGAGCATCTCTGTTCCAGGTTAGCTATGGTAGCAGTATTATGCCTCCAGGTTTATCTGTTCACACATCCTTGTAAAGTTTTCTTATTAATGCTAATGGTAAATTAAGCCCAAGCCCATAACTGCTGATGTTTTCTTCAAAATCTCAGAGTTTGCTTTGGTTTTGTGCTGGGAGGAAAAATTAAACAAGTTGTCCAAAACTTGATGCAAGGACCTCGAAACATGTCCTTTCCATATGGTAATAAATGCATATGGGGCAGGGAATGAAAACACAAACTTCTTGTGCTAACTGCTCTCTGGAAAAGGTGCTACAGAAGGTAACAGATGCCATTAAACTGGAAGCCTTCATGGAGGTCTACAGCAAATGTGCTGAAAGAGCTATCATTGATTCTTAATTTTATCCCCATTTTCTAGGGGACTTTCTAAGTGGAAACAGGTGTTCAAGGCTCTAAATTGGGCTCTCCAACAGCTGCCCCAAAAGCTCTTGTAGCTCTTTGTGAAAGCAGTTAAAATCCAGACCTGTTACTTTACAAAAGCATCCATAAGAATTCATTGGAAACTTAAAAGACAAAGTAGAGCCTTTTAGATCTGCTTTTATTTGCTTCCTTGAAGGAACACAGACATCCAGTTGCTCCTTTTGCCCCTTCCCTCCAGGCAGCAGAGCAGGAACAGGGTGGGAGGTTTTCTATCTTTGCAGAAAACTCTATTCTTTCTCTAATCATAACTGTATGTCCCAGTTTGAGAAGTCACCAAATGCTGTCCTACAGTATGGCCTGGTTATGGGGCTTTTGTCCTAAACTCTAAACTTCAGTTCAGTCAAACCATTTTCCTCCAGAGAAGCAGTCTCAGATCTTACAGATCAGATGATCCTACTTTGGTCTTGCACAGCTCCAGCTGAAGTGAGTACTGCTTGCAAGACAGGGTTCATAAATTATAAATCCACTTCAGAGTTCTTCAGGATAAGAAATCCAGTATGTAAAACCTATATGAATAATTTTCTGCTCAGGCAATGTGGTATGAACAGCCAAACTTCCCATCTGAACCTCTAGTTATATTAGGAAATCCAAAAACATTAAAATGGATGCTTGTTAAGGAGAGAAACGAGCTTAAATCTTGTTTTGTCCACAAATGTTGATGTGTATTAATGAGCTGAACCAGTACCATAATCCAGTGCTGAACCTTGTCCCTTGAATGGGGAAGCAGCATTTTGATGAAATGCAGGTGTTTGTGCCTTACATTGTATTTTAAGTGTCACAGGTGAAAAAAAGATTAAAAAAGAGCAGATCCTTACTAAGTACAAACTAAGGCAATGGTTTGTTGTAGAGTTGTTGTTCTTCACATTGCTTCAGAGTTAATCTGTAGGTTCTTCACTCCTCAAAAAACCAAGGACTAACTGCTGCCTTCACAATAAGCTCCCTCAGGTAGGAAACTTCACTACCAATAGAAAGAGATTCTCCCATTGCAAGGCAGAGGAAATCATTATTGTACCTAAGTGTCTCTTCTTATCAGTAGTTTGAGTTGTACACTTACCTGCAGTAGAACATTTAGTCCTGAAGCACATGAATGGCCTTTTCCTACAGTACTTGTTTTAACTGAGTGTGATAAAAATGTCACATTTCATCAAAACCTGGGGATTTTGCAGAGGATCCCAAATAGTTGTGACACAAAAGAATTGAAAGCAGCAAAGCTCAAATCCCACTTATGGCAGTGCTATTAAATGAGTATGGAAATCTTGGAGACTCTCCCAAGGCTTTTCTTAGAGAGGAGGAGGGAACATAATAGAGCTGTTTTCCACTTAGCTGCTGGTTGATGAGTATTCCTAGACAAGGAAGAAGTATTGTCAGTGGGCAAAGGACTGCATTCATTGCTCCTGTGGATTTGATTGGCATGCAGCTATACCACACAGTAATTAAAAATTGGCAACGATCTGCATTACCCAACTTCTGTTGAGTTGTGCTTGTGATCTAGCTCTATAGTTACTCAAAGCTTCATACACAGTTCAGAAAACACTTGAGAAGCTGGCAGATGGGTTTGTCCTTTTTGCTGTGTCTAGAGTAATACAGCCCCACTTGCTGCAGCCCTTGAGCTGCTGAGCAGACCCAGGGCAGCTCAGATTTTGCAGTGTTTGTAACGTTGGTGCTGCAGGGAGCTCTTTGCCAAACGTTCTTGTTTTTGAATCCTGGCCCAAGAATGTCAGAGCACGACACGCAGTCAGTGTGCTCGGCTATACATAGCAGCAGCCTGTTTACAGCAAGGCAGGGTTAAAATTAGGTGTGTGGGAAGGCACAGACCCAGCTCCTGGTACCCACTCTTTGCTGCCATATGTGCCTCACCTTTTGGCTGTGCAGTGATTCCTGGCCAGTGGCTGAGCACCAGAAATCACTGGAGGCTGCTTTGTAGCCTGCCTGGGTGTAGGTTCTTGACACATATGCAGCTTATTTGTATGGCTAAAGTGTTTGCACTATTAGAAGAGTGTACTTTTAAATCACTAACCTGTGATTCCTTCCTTACAGCAGACATTCTGAGGGTCAGCTGGGGCTTTGTACATGCACTGGAATTCAGACTGTTCCTTGAAACTCAGAACCTTTGTGTTGCTGCAGTTGGATAAGAGCTGATGGTCACTGTGGCTTTACACATGCTGCAATGAAATTGGGCACAGCCTTGATTCTGTGTCTGCTTGTCCTGCCTGACCAGGAGCTTGTATCCTTCAAACAATGTTGGCTTGTGCAAATGTTAGCAATGCTTAGGCCTGGCTCAGGATGGTGCAAGGCAGGGACTGTTCTAAACAAGCAAGGTGGTGCTTATTTGGAAGGAAAAGGCCAATGCCGTGAGGCAGCAATACCATTATTGCAGGGGGGCCCAGGGATGAGGAGTGATAAAGGATAAAGTAGCAGAAACCTGGAAAAACATGCAAAGAAATCCTTGCCTGCCTTCCTGGATCTGGACTCAGTAAAATTAGAAGCACAGCAGATGTCAAAAATTTTATGAGAATTTTTAGTTTCTTGGAATTGTGATTCTTCTAATTAAAATAAACAGGAAAACAGCAAGGTGAAAACTCAGGGAACATATTTTTATGGAGAAGAGGAGGAGAGAGAACAAGAATGTCTCCTCCTCAAAACAGAGCACATGTTACAAAAACACTATAATGAGGGGTTGTATGTAGTCAAGAAATTTCAGCTAGTGATTGAGGTGAGATTTAGTCCTGTTTCAGGCAAAAAAAACTCCTCTATGTTTTAAATGTAGTAGCTATCAAAATTTCCATAACAGTAGAATTTCAGAAAGAATTTACAAACCAGGATGCCATTAAGGAGATCACATGTGAATTCACAAAGTGTAACTACATTGATACTAATCTCATGGCAGCACAAATGTTCCAAATTCCAAAAAAGTTATATTCCAATTCAAAGGGCAGAAAAGTAGACCCTCTTCTGGAAGGGGAAAGTGCCAGGTAATCACTTTGTTGCCTGTCTGAGAATTACCTCACCCAGGAGCCTTTCTTTTAAATGCAGGCACCATTATAATGAAGCACTCAGAACGTTCCAGTCCAAGGAGCTCACAAGAAACAAACATCCCACGGAAACTTCTACAGGGGACTCCCTTTCTTGCCAGCAACCAGGTTGGTTCATGACTGTAAACATGATGCTGTGTTTATCATGAAAAACTCTACAGCTTTACCAGATTAGTAGTCAGAAAATTGAACATAGTAGCTGGTGAGTTTTGAGGGTTGGAGCTGCGTGCCAAAACCAAGCCATGCCAAATGCCAACATAACTGCTGGGGCAGTTGTTCTGTAATAGCTCCCACACAGAGAAGAGACCCTGGAGTTGTATTAATTCTTGATTTTATTAGCAAATCTTTAGCTCTGTCAGAGATGTACATTGTGGCCCTGCTTGTTTTGCACAGCACAGAATACATTAATAAAAAATACAGGGATTGCTTAGAATTCTACTTTTGGTGTTAGACAATGGACAAAGTGTGTGGATAGCACAGCAGTGATGCTGCAATGTGGCAGTTTGCTGGCCAGAAAAGCTCCTGTTGGCACTAGAGGCATGGCAGGCTCTGGAAACAATGTCAGTTTTCAGTTCCCTATCTAATCATTTTCCCTAGCCCTATGGCTTGCCAGGATGCTGCTGGATTTCTGAGACATTGCCTTTTTCCTCCAGTCTTGTAGCATCTCTTGGACATAATAATGCATTTCAGTTGTTCCTGGTTGTTAAGGAGTTGTATCTTTACAGTTGGTGGAGGAAAGAAGTCACACTTTTGACACATCATCACTGGAATGTTTCTTACATTCTGAATCTCTCCTTTAAGGTGTTTGTAGAAGACTTGCAGATGTGCTAACCATCAAACGAGTGTAAAGTGAGGGCAAACCTCCTTTCCTCTTCATTTCACATGAATACAAGGCTGTGAAAGTACCTGGTCAATGTTGGTACAATGCTCAGGTGGAATAATGATGAGTGCTGTGGAAGAAGTTTGAGGAAAGAGTTCTGTGCTGGGGCCTAGGCAGTGAACAGCAAATAAGAAATAGAGACAATAAGGAACAGCAGGGCAGGATGGTGTGGAGTAGCCACACCATCTAATCTTTGTGCTAAATTATTTCTCTTTATTATTTATAAACCTCTTTTTGGATTGCTTGAGTGGAGTAAAAATTCTCCTTTAACTGTGTACAGATAATATTCAATATGCTTTAAATGATGATGAAGCAGGTGATAAAGTAGTTGTGACCAGACACATAAAAACCTAAACTGAATTTTTCTTGCAACTTTCTGAAAAAAAGCCTGGAGTAAAGGTAAATTATTTAAAAAAGATTAAAAAAAAAAATCTAAAGTGATGAGTTAAAACTGATTTTAAGTATAAACTTCCTATAAGACTGAGAAAGAATAACATCTGTTAATTCCTTTTGTCTTTTCAGTTCTACCAGAATTGAAGCTGCTCTGTGGGGCTGATTTTCTACAGACATTTAAGACACCCAATCTCTGGAAGGAAGAAGACATCAAAGAAATAGTGGGAAAGTTTGGATTGGTCTGCATCAGCCGGGCTGGCTCTGATCCATCACAGCTCATCCAGGAATCAGACCTTTTATCTAAATTCCAGCACAACATTTTTCTGGTGAGAGAGTGGATCCAGAATGAGGTCAGTGCGACGCAGATCCGCTCTGCCCTGCGCAGGGGGCTGAGTGTGAAGTACCTGATCCCAGACTCTGTCATTGCCTACATCGCGCAGCACCAGGTCTACACCGCGCAGAGCGAGCGCACGAACCAGGGCCGCCCGCTGCAGCCCCTCAGGCTGCACACACAGCAAGAAACCCTCTGAGGGACTGATTCCTGCACTGGCTGCCCTGTCAGATCACCACCCTTGCCATGGAGATTGCTTGAGAGAGTTGTTTCTTATTAATAATGAAGTTTCCCTTCATTTCCAAAATTTCTTGAAATCATGTGGTATTTTAAATCCATGAATCTGTGTGTGGTAGTGTTCAAGTAAATTGGGATGCTCAGCTGTGTAGCTTAAAATACACAAAGAGCAGCTTCTTTGTGAAAATAAAAGCAAGGAGATCTTCACAATAAATATTCTTAGTATTTCAGTAATTTCAGTAAGTCAATAAATATGATTTAAGGGTCAAATATAGTACTTTCCTAACTTGCAATTCTGCAATCCTTGCTGTTCTAAACCAGCAAAATACAATGAACCATAACTTGAGAGAGAGAGAGATATGTTTAAATATATATTACTTCTAAACTTTGACTTTATAAGGCCCTGAATAACTTTTTTGATTTTTGGTGATTTGGCCAAGACATGGAAATCAATCTTTCTTCCATGCAAGCACTTAAAAATGCACGTGCTACTTCTGCCACTCCTAAAGCTCTGGGTTCTCAAATGACAGGCAGTCCTCATCCCCACATTTACAGCTGTGTCTTGGTTTGAAAGACAGGTGTCTGCTGAGTAAGGCAGGAGCCTCCCTTGGAATGGAAAATGTAAACCCCCTCTCTCTGGATTGTTATAAATTTGAAATTAAGGGGCTCTCAGGCAAAGATATGGGGATAGGAATAACAGTTCTTTACTAATATGTATAAATAATAAATTTTTAAAAACAAACGAAAAACTACAACTTAATAGGGAAATGAAAATAAAATGTAGTAGTACAAAAACACTGCCAGAGTCAGACCATGCCCTGTCCCCTGTGTGTCAGGGGGTGGCCCAGCCCCATCCCATGGGGGCTCAGCCCTCCTGCAGTGCCAGCTGTGGTTCTGCTGGAGCAGGGATCCTGCACAAGGGGGGAGTTTTCCTCTGCAGCTCCAGGGCTGCTGCAGATGGGCCTGGGCTCCCTCTGGCCATGCAGGGCAGCAGAAGCTGCTCCTCTGGCAATGCACTGGGCAAAGGCTGCTGGGCTGTGCCAGGCTCACATTGGATCCAGGTAGGAATGCTTGGCTCCTGCCCTGGGCAATGCAGCATCTCCCCATGGGATGCTGGAATTGGATCAGCCCTGCAGGGACACTCAGTGGCCATGGACAGCAGAGATCTCCTGCAGGGAGGAGTGGCTGGGGGAGAGATAAAGAAAACTGCCCCTCCTGGTTTTAACAGATGGTGATAGAATGCACACTTCTGGTTACATCTTGCATTGCAACCTAAGACAAGTGGGTTTCTTTTCTTCTCTGTTCCAAAGTCTTCTCAAGAGCAAGCAATTGCCAAAGCCCCAGAGTAGATAAAATATCCAGTAGGAGCTTCAGCTGTACTGTATGCAAACATCTGAGAGGCTCAGTACTTGAGCTCTGACGTTAGTGGGGAAAATCCCTGCTCCTTCTGCTGCTTGCCTGTTATGCTGATTGAGTGTCTCTCATTTCTGACAGGAGTCCCTTTCAGAGAATACAGAACTCTATAAAGTGCTCCCTCTGTGTTTCAGAGCTCCTCAACTGAAAGCATTCATGCAGCAGTGCTGGAGCATTTATCACTGTACAGAGTAACCACTGCTTCCCAGTACAGGTTTCCACCTAAGTGGTGCTTCTGGGCCCCCAGCTGGCCAAGCAGCTTCCACAGGTGGTTCTTTAGGATTCAGGAGCTTGTGGAACAACTTAAAGGAATACCAGACACAAGTGGTTTTGACTGAAAAGGGTCTGTATGATTTTTTTCTTGAAAGAAATCATAAAGTAGCTGAAACTTATTCAAGAAGAAGAATTTGGCTCAAAAAAGACACAAGATAAGCATTTTTATAATTTTGGCTAATATCCCAAATTTTTATAGCTTTGGCTAATATCCCAAACGAAAACTATTTGAAAGGGTTTGGTTTTTTTTCTGAGTGGCAGGAAGAATGAAGAGTAATATGGTTAAAACCGATATTCCTTACACAATGATATGAAAGGTGAATATTTCATTTGTTTTAAATCAAGTCATCCTGCTGTCATGTTAGAAATCTCAAAGGTTCAGCCTCGTAGAAGGATTTAAAAGCAGCACTTCAACAATAATCGGATTAGAAGGACTTGCATAGCTCCATGGTATAAAGAAGAGATAAAAGGAACCAGAGTTCCAACTTGCCACAAAGCAAGGCAGTGAGTTGTGGGGTGCAGAATCAACCCAGGTTCTGAGCCAGTGATTTTGAGCATCACCTGGAGCAGGGATGCCTGCAGACTTCAATGGGTACTGGAAAATGGTCAGCAATGACAATTTTGAGGAGTATCTGAAAGCACTGGGTAAGGTTCCCTTCAAACTTCTTGAATGAATAATCAATGCCACCTCTCTTATTCTTTATGTGAATCTATTTTTTCTTGTACAGTCATAAGTCATTTTTGTGAGAAGTATTTTTTTTCAGAAATGCACTTTAAGGATTGCCTTAAGCAAAATTGTTTTGCCTTAAGCAGCCTCTACCTTTTACCATCTTGAAGCTTACATTAACAGACATTAAACTACATAGCTTGAAGAGGTACGTGGTGGATTCTAAACATAAAAAAATCTCCTATAATTTGAAAATCAGTAAAATTTTCATATTTAATAAAGATTCAGTGTAGTACTTAATGCAATTTTGTGTGTTTGTATTTGGTGTTGTGTAAGTATCTCTATAGAAATATTAGAGGCCTTATTAACTGTCAAATACAAATGGTATTTTTTATAGATTTCACATAATTGGAAAATTGAAACATTAAGTTATTTAAGTTATAAGAATTAGGTTACATCCTTTTTCTGGATGGGAAGGCTGGTTTGACAGATTTGGACATCTATTTATCTTTGTTAAGATTTATCATTTCAGTTCTCCCTAGAAGCGACAAGCTTCTTCTTGTGGAAGACTTTCTGGATAAAAATAACTCTTTTTTCTTTTTCAGATGTAAATGTTGCTGTAAGAAAAATAGCAAACTTGCTAAAGCCTGACAAAGAAATCCTTCAGAACGGGGATCATATGATCATTAAAACACTAAGCACTTTTAGAAACTACATCATGGAATTTGATGTAGGAAAGGAGTTTGAGGAGGATTTATCTGGGGTGGATGATCGCAAGTGCATGGTAAGAAGTAAAACTTCAACAGTGGACAAAATGAATATTGATAACCTGAGGCCTTTCACAGAACACATCTTTTAACCATCCTGCTGGCTATTCCTGAAATTATTTCCCTACTTCTCAGTTTGCCAAGAGGTACCTACAGTTTGGAGCATGCCTTTAGATTAGACGAATGCTAATTTTAATCAGGAGCACAAAGCAGTTTTATCAATCAGTGAATAATAACCTCAACGAAGCTGTGCTCATTTACACTGGGATGTTTGTTATCAGAAAGACATCTAGGGTCACTTGCAGAACCTCTTTAATGAGTAAGGTTTTACAGTAGAGGAAATCCACTGATTGCAAGGTCAGGCACTGCTCCTGTGTGAGAATGGCCAAGTGCTTAAAGATTGCCTGGGTGTTCTTATTAGAGTACACACTTAATGAGCCCCCTGGAACAAATCTTACTGAAATGAATAAGCAAACACTGGGGACTTTGTTTTACAATAGCTCTCTTTTATGAGCTCTTTTTGCTTTTTAATTTAGGGCTGATAAATATCAATTTACAGAGGAAAAACTTGAGAATAGCAAGTTCTCACCTATTAGTTTGGCAGCATGACACTGGCAATATTCTGCAGTTAGGAAGTTGACAAATAAAAGAAAATTATCTCAGAAGAGACTCTAGAGGAGAAATCTCATAAAAGAGAATTAATAGGTTTGCATTCTGAGAAAGATAGTGCTATTTAAAAACAATACTTTTCTCTCACACTAAGATTTGCAAATTTGCTTTTGCTCTGATTGTGGCAGGAAAGGGAAAAAATGTGGAAACCAGAGAAAAAGAATGGTTGGCTACTGAGTGCCTCAGCAAATCCCTCTGTGGTCCTTGTTCCAGAGGGTACAAGTTTGATGTGAGTGCAGAATTCAACATTCACAGAAGGGAGGAGCAGCTGCATTTGTGTTTAGGACAGTGCCCCCGTGGCATCTTGTGATTTTGGTTCCTGGAAAGCTCTTAATTAGGATATTGAGGTGCAGATTCACTGAACAGTTAGGAGCCCAAGAAAAGATTTAAGACTGAGGTGATTAAATTGCCATCAAAGATAGCAATGTTCAAAACATCTGCTCCAAAGGTTTGTGTGTGCACAGAACTGTCCGTGTGTAAGCATTATCTGTACTTGAATGCCATTAATTCCCATCTGAAGGAGAACTAAACCATCCTCTGCGTGGTGTAAAGAAGTAATATTTTATTGGTTTTAACAAACCAAAATTCTCTACCCTGTTTTGCTAAATTGAGTGATAAGGGAAGGATTCAAAATGTTAAACCAGAAAGAAGAAACTAGAGAGTGAGAATTTCAGTTCCTACAACAGCTGATTGATTTGGCATGTAGAAGCTAGTTCAGCCTACTTTCAAAGGTTACTCAAACTTTTCTCTGTTTACTGTTTAGTGGGAAATGCCTCTTCAGCCTTGGAAGCAGAAGGTATCAGCAGCTTCCTGCCTGTTCCAAACAAACAGACAAAACCCTCAAACAACCAGGGGTAGTCACTGCCTCTGACTGGGTTTTTTTAGGAAGGATTTAGGGATGTAATTCCACAAAACCCCTCAGAGATCTCTCTGTGTGTCTCCAGGTGTAGCTGGACAGTCCAGGTCACTGACCACTGGTGCTCCATTTACCTTGTAGGAGCACATCACACTTTGTAGTTCAATTTTCTCATTAAATATTTCTGTTCTTCACGAGACCTCTGTTTTGTCAATGAAATAACAGTACAAGAAGCTCTCTTGCTGAAGTGACTTCAGTCCAAATCTGATAACCATAATGTCAGGCAAAATTTGCAGTTGTTAAGCAGCAAAATGACTCCAACAGTGCAGAAGGAATCTTGTGAGAGAAGAGTCATGGAGCTTATAAAAGGTACTGGACCACTCCATGTGTGGTGTTACAAAGAAAACCACCATAAAAGCAAATGTTAAATATCATTCTTGGTGTTCCATTTGTTCATGTAGAGCCTGTGGAACTGCATGCCATAAAAGGCTTAATCATTAATAGTCATCCTGTGTGATGGCAAAGGTTGTGAATCAATTATTGTTATTTATATTGTGGACTGAGCAGACCACAGGGCAAGTTTTATCCAAGGAGCTCGATATGTGAGCAGTACAAAGTAACATGGATAAGACAAATTACACATTAAACATTAATCTATACAGCAGAGCAATCATCAGGAGACTAACAAAAATAACCTTAGAATTAATCCTTCCCTCCTAGACATATAGATTGTTTTTTCTTTTAATGAGGAATATATCATCTAGCTAGAGTTAACATATCTGTAAAAATAATATCAGCACAGTGGACAGGTTAGATCCTGGGTGTAATTCACTGAAATTGTGTTCACCTTTCAGTTGTAAAACATGTCCCTGAGCCCGTCAGGGCAGAGTGTAACTACAGTAATTCCAAATCAATGCTGTCCATGAGCAGGAAATGCTAAAAAGTTTTACTGATACTTATTTTCGATGTTGGAGTTTTGACATCAGGAACTTGACAGTCTTGTGATAGCACAAGGCCTCTCCTCCTTTGCAGTTTGGGGTTTTTTCATTTTTGTAGTTGGTCACTCCTGGGAACCTGTCTGACCTTTCTTGATCAGAGTTAATTGAGAAGGATAAACCTCAGCAATCTCAGTTTGTCCTTCTGCTGACCCTCAGCCTGGCTTTCTTGCATGCACATATTTTTGGATATCTGTTCACTGCAGGGATAGAGGGAACAGCAGCTGGTGACATCAGGTCCTTTAGGATGTTGTTTCTGTTGGGCAGTGAAAATTTGTGACTTTGGAAACACTAAAGCCCTGCAGTTTAGGTAAAGATGCAGTTTCTGTGTTCTGCAAAACCAAAGATGGGGATAGTTGAGCACAGGAGAGATCACAAATGACAACTGGTATCAATGCTCCTCAGGCTTTCCACCCAGGATTGGATCTCCTGGACAAAAGTTAAATCTATTCATTGGCAATTTTGTGAAAGAGATCTTTCTGCAACTTCAACCATCCTTAACTATGCAGGGTTGTTAAAAACTTGGCAGCTTCAAGTAGAAACGTAAAATGAAAGTTCAGGAGCATCTTTCATTCCTTGCAAATGTTCCAAGGTGTACATTAGATGGTGTAGAAGGAAGTTTAGAACATTAATTTGTGTTACATTTCTTCTCACATGATGTGAATTGGAGCATGTAGTTAAGCTTCTACTGCTTTGAAGAGTTTGTTCATAGTTTTAATTGGCAACACATTATCAGATGGAGAATGTACAAGACAGAAATTTAAAGTTAAATGGAGAGCTCTGGCTTTGGTATTTCTCACACTGAGTCTTTGATCCTGCTGTCTTAATTCTCAGTGAAGCTCCAGTCTCATCATGAAATCTCAGTTTTAAAGAGAATTTCTACAATCTCAAATTGTGATTAATTAGCATCTCAGGTGTTGTTCTAAGTATGAAACTTTGTTTCTTGTATATAAACATAACTGTGGAAAAAATTTACTGTGCGTGCAAGAGGAAGACCCTGTTGAAAAAATGAATCCAAAACTATCTCTGAAAGTATCTCTCATTTATCAGCAGATAGTTGTGCTTCCCTTTTTGCACTGATAACCAGTGAAGCTGGTGAAACACCTACAGTGTGAAATATAGGAACATAGGAATATAGCACATAGGAACAAGGCACATAAGCCTTCTGTACCTTCACAGTGTAATTTACTGAGTGTTTAGTAAAGAAATTATGAAAAAGTTAACTGAAAAACCTTAAAATGCTGAAACAAAGGCTGAAGTTTCACATTGAAGTCTTTACATCCAATGAATCAAAGCAGATTGAAAATTGGATAGCTCAGATGCAAAAATCACTTTCTTAAAATTTTTAGTTTTTTAATGATTCTGCTGCTAAAGTCAGAGAAAACTTTTGCCTTATAATTATTCTCTGCTGTTCAGGCATTTGAAAGACTGAATTGCTTTATTTTAGACTATTAATTAATCTATCTGATGCAGAATTAATCTCTTTTGACAGAAACTAAGGGCAAGTGATGTGTTAAGAAAATCAAGAAAGATCTTATGTTCTAAATATAGAAGAGCAGAATTGGATGGCTGAGGAGAGTTGTGTCATATCTGAGTATTTGTCCAAGCATATGAGAGGTGCTTTGGTAACTCAGAACCTTGTGCTCTCTGATACAGTAATTTTCTTCTTCCATTGAAGCAGGAAATGAAATGACAAAGGCAGGGGACTGGGAAACAGAGAAAACTGCAAGAATGTTAAACTGAATGTGGGAAATAATACATCTTAACCATTTAGTTATCTAAACCTGAATCCCAGTGGGATATAACCATGAATAAGTTATCAAGTGGGTGTTTAGGTTTCCTTTATTGGAACTAACAGAACCTGTAGTCCTAGTTAATTTATATCCCACTGGGATATAATAATCTTAACCCACTGGGATTAATAATAATAATAATAATCTTATATCTTATAATAATCTTATATCCTTATATATAAGGATATAATCCCAGTGGGATATAACCATGAATAAGTTATCAAGTGGGTGTTTAGGTTTCCTTTATTGGAACTAACAGAACCTGTAGGCCTTGTTAAGACTTCTGGGGGTGAGGAGGATTTGGGAGCTGTGGAATTCCCACATCAGATTTAGAACACTTCTAACCGTGTGAAATGTCAGTGAGTGTTTGAAACAGCCACACCAGGACTGTTCACAGACACCTGAGTGTGCCATGTCCTGCTGAAGGGAGGGAAGGTGTTCAAAACTGGTCATGGCTCTGTTTTCATTAACAAATGTGCCTAATTGTGACACTGATTCCTCTCAGGTTTGTACTCAAGAAAACTGCAGTGGAGGTAGTTGTTCTGGCCATAATTTGAGTTATACCACTGCAAGGTCAGAATAAAGCCCTATTACAAAATCACATGGTTTGTGAAGCTTATTTAACTATTTAGGCAGGTTCCTCTGTTACACAAATGGAATTCACAGCTGTTAATCTAGTTCTGAGCAGGCTTGGGAATTGAGAC